AGTAGCAGAGCTGGGAATGCACATGCCCAGTTGCTCAGTACTGCGCGTTCCCTCAGTTAGAGGTCCCTGGGTGTCTGTCCACAGAAGGCCTGATGCGAGGTGCTTAGCAATGGTCTTCCAGGCCCCGCAGACTCTGGGGTGGCGGAGCTAGGTGGAGCCCCTCTCCTCAGGAACCCCAGCCCGTCCCCAGCCTCACAGAAGAGGTTGTATCCCCTCACAGTATAAATGGGGAGCGCTGACCTTGATACCTGGCATGAGACAGAGGACAAGAATTCCCCTTTAAAAAGAAAGCTTAGGGGGCACCTGGCTGGCAGAAGAATATGCGACTCTCGATCTCGGGGTCGCAAGTTTGAGCCCCACGTTGGTTGTAGAGATTACTTAAATAAAAAAAATAAACTTAGGGGCACCTGGGTGGCTGAGTCAGTTAAACGTCCAACTCTTGATTTTGGTTCAGGTCATGATCTCAGGTTCGTGGGGTTGAGCTCCGAGTCGGGCTCGTGCTCAGCATGGAGTCTGCTTGAGATTCTCTTTCCCTCTCTGTCTGCCCCTCCCCCCCAATAAATAAATAAATCTTGAATAAATAGATAAACTTAAAAAGAAAAAAGAGGGGCGCCTGGGTGGCTCAGTCGTTGGGCATCTGCCTTCGGCTCAGGTCATGATCCCAGGGTCCTGGGATCGAGCCCTGCATCGGGCTCCCTGCTCCGCGGGAAGCCTGCTTCTCCCTCTCCCCCTGTTTGTGTTCCCTCTCTCGCTGTGTCTCTCTCTGTTAAATAAATAAATAAAATCTTTAAAAAAAAAAAAAGAAAGAAAAAAGAAAGCTTAGGTCCCCCAAAGTCACTTCAGGGAGGTTATGACCCCATGAGGCCAGTACAAGGGGCTTTAAAGAACCCTCTGCCCCCGCTCCTTTCCTGGGAAGGAGGGCAATTTAGTCTCTGTCTTGCCTCCTATCGCTACGGAGCCTTCCCATCCTATCCAGGATGTAGGCCAGCATCCCAGGGTCTTCAGGGTACCCTCAGTTCTCCCCAGTTAATAGTGGGTGCGGTGGGGTATGACTCTGGGGCCCTGGACAGAACGACAGGCAGGGGAGAGCACCCACCACTTCACTCTGGTCTGGACCATCCAGAGTCCTCTGGTATGCCTTCCTCTCTGGAAGGCTCTGTGGGGTATCCAACCACCCTCAGAAAGGAATGGATGCAGCCAAGGGCAGGTCTGGGCCATTGCAGCCCCTTGTACTTTAGGGCTGGCCTTTCTGTTCCTTGGATGCTCTCCATGGGGAAGGACATTGCCCACACTCTCCTCTATTGGCCTCTTTGTGGAGGATAGGCCCAGAGAGGTCCAGTAACATACCCAAGGTCCCAAAGAGGAGCTCAGACCTCTTCTATCTCGCTGTCATGCAGGCCAGGGTCGGGGGAGGGAAGGCTCTGTGTGTGCACATGCCAGCCCCAGGCTTACCGTGGGACTGCTGGGCAGAGCTTGGCCCACGCTGGACGTCCTGCTCCAGGAGCTGTCCCACCTGCTGGGTGAGGCTGGGGTGGCCACACAGCTGGGCTCCTGGGCTCTGGGCCCCGAAGGAGGGTTCATCCTGAGGTGGGGTAGTCCTTTCTCGAGCCCACTGAGAAGCCCAGGACACAGGGAGCTCAGGATATTAGCTGTGCCCGGCCTCCCGACCTTCCTCCGTCCTCAGCACCCCTGCCTGCTCCGCTGGCCGCCTGTTCCTGCGTCCGGCGTGGTCCTAGCCTGGAGCTACTCTCAGAGCTGATGACTGCTTTGTCCAGTGAAGCACAAAGGAACGAGTGTCACAGCTATGGCGACTCACAGCCACGGGGTCTGTCCCCACCTTTAAGTAGCAGAGCTGGGAATGCACATGCCCAGTTGCTCAGTACTGCGCGTTCCCTCAGTTAGAGGTCCCTGGGTGTCTGTCCACAGAAGGCCTGATGATGGTGGCACACATGTGTGAAAGTGTGTGTGTGTGCGCGCGCGCATGAGTATGAGAGTGTGTGTCAGTGTGAATGTGTGTGTGTGTGTGTATTTCAGGGGAGACTGTCGTGCTTGGGCTCCTAGACATTGGGCAGAAGGCTTTGTCCTCCCCTCTGACAAAGCTCTCTTTCTCCCCTGAGCTCATCAAGAACAGCCTCTCCTGCCCTCAGTAACCCCCACGGCTGTCCAGGGGGCAGCTTCACCCTCTCCCCGGGGCACCTGACCCTCAGTTCAGCCTGCACGAGCTCATCCCATCTTCACAGCCACCCCCGCAGGGCAAGGCTGGTCACGCATCGCAGAGATGAAGAAGCTAAGAGGGTGTGCTGTGATATTACACAATCAGGGTGAGGTCAGATCACAAGGCATTTTTTTGTTTGTTGCCTTTTGATAATAAACCTTTTTACTGAAGTATAAAGATTTTATTTCTTTTTAAGATTTTATTTATTTATCTGAGACAGAGATAGTGAGAGAGAGCACACGAGTGGGGAGGAGAGGGAGAAGCAGACTCCCCGCTGAGCAAGGAGCCCGATGGGGGGCTCGATCCCAGGACCCTGGGACCATGACCTGAGCCTAAGGCAGCTGCTTAACCAACTGAGCCACCCAGGTGCCCTGAAGTATAAAGATTGAAAAAAAGAAAACCACCAGATGCAAAGCTAGGAACTCAGGCCTGGCTGAGATGAGTGAATGTCAGAGGTGGGGGGGCCCCCAGGCCTGCACCTCCATCCACTCTTGGAAGAGGCAGCAGGAGGGAAGAGCCCCAGAGCTGGAGGGAACAGCAGCTGAGCGGTCTTTGCAGGGGGCCCACTCGGCTTCCAGAGCGTCCTACTCGGGAGCATGTCCTAAGACACGGCGCAGAGATTGGTGGAGCCCTGGAGGGGAGACATATACCAACTCTTGCTCCAGGACAGTCCCCAGTCTTTACAAACAGTTCTCCTTGAGCCCCAGATTTGAGCCAGGGGGTGGGAGCACCCACACTCGGAGAGAGAAACTGCACCTCCCAACAGGCGCCAACCTGTGGCTCAGACACACTTCCTCCTGAGACCTTCCATTTCAGGTCTTAGCTCACAGAGGCTCACCTTGGCTGCTGGCTGTGGCTGGACCCTGGCTTTGTTTCTTCCTCTAATGCCCAGTGTGGACTTACCAACTGCTGGCTTTTGAATATGAGGCTTTCCCTGCTGATCTGAGCTGGGAGCAGCTCTGAGCGGACACAAAGTCCCATTCAATGTCCTGTTCTCACCCTCCAACCTGATAACTAGGAGAGAAGCAGGTGAAGTAGCTAGCACCAGGAGCTCTAAGAAGAGTTTGTTGGGCGGGCAGACGAGAAGGGGCCACACCCAGGGCACCAGAGGCCTCACAGCCACTCCTAAAGGCCCAAGGAATTGAATCCCTTTATATTGTCCTTCTCCGTGGCTGACATACAGCCACCCTTGGAAGTGATGCTGAGATGTCCCATCACCTCCTCCTGTGCTGCGACCCTTCAGGGGAGGGCCCACCACAACTGTCACACACCACACCTCTGCACCCAACTTCTGCTCTGCTGGGAGCCTGCAGTCCAGGCTGAGTCAGGAGAGCTACACGGGCAGCCTCAGCCTCCAAGGACACAGCGTTCCACTGTCCCCTGTGGGCGCACCATTGCTCCAGCTGTCCTAGTTATAAGTCACAGGTCCGAGGTGAGAGAGCCCTTGGCCTTCCGTCACTCTCCTCAGACTTCGCAGGTGCCCAGCTGCATTCCCACCTCTGAGCCCCTCTTCTGCTCTCCACTCTGCCCATCAGGTCTCTCTCCAGGCCTGGCTCAGAGCGGAGCCCAACCTCTCCATGTGCTTCCTGGCCTCCCTGTCGAAGGTCTCAGGGGCCCCGCTCCACCCAGGAATCAGCACATGGACAAACGGGGAAGGGGGCCTCCAACCCCGCAGGGTTCCCATCCTGGCTAGTGCCCACTCCCCTTGGAGGCAGGCGTGGCATCTCTTCTTCTCCCAGTCCAGGAGCCGAGTGCAGGTGGATGTTCAAGGCCAGCCTCTGGCTCTGGGGGCTTCGGTGGCCCCAGGCCCCCCGAGCTGATAACAAGCTGCCATCCCCGCACAAGGCTCCTCTCTTTATGCCTCCCCCTTTCTCTTGCCCCCTCCTTACAGCCCATTCTTCACACTGCAGCCCTAAAGTCATTTGGAAACACATAGTCAGATAAACCCATGCTTAACGCTTTGGCGGCTTCCATTGCTCTTGAGACGTAGAGGCCCAGTTTGGCGAGGAGGTAAAGGAAAGTAACACAATGTCCCCCAGTACAGGGGAATAAGAAGTAGATTTTGTTGGGGAAGCTAAACTACCAACGGTCAGCAAGAAGGGGCCTGTTCTACCCCACCGCCTCGATGTATGTGCATGCGGACCAAGCTGCCATCGCCCCGCTAATGCTCCTTTTTGATGCATGCTCCAGACCAGCCGTTTTCAGAAAGGAGCAGCCAAGCTCAGGTGCCAGGCAGTCTGGGTGTGGCTGCCTGCTGAGCAGGGAAGTTTCTGAGAAGGCCAGCTGCCAGTACCTGAAGACCCTCCTGGGAGCTGGATTCAGGCCATGGGGGAAGGAGAGTTGATCACACGGGGAGTTGAGTTCAGGTGCAGACCCTCTTGCTGGGCAAGGAGGGGCCAGCTTGGTGCCTGAGCTTCTGGGCTCACTCACCAGGGAGTCCTCACTGTGCTCCAGCCAGGCTGGCTTCCTCTTGGTCCGCAGAACACACCCAGTCCCTCTGTCACCCAGCTTCTGCTCATGCATTGCTCCTGAAACCTTCCTGCGCCCCTTCTCCGGGTCTCAGCTCAAACACCACCTCATCACGGTGTCAGCAAAGCCATCCTGAGGACCCAGCTGTTCACAGCCTCCTGTCCCTCCTGTGGAGTACTCACTAATAGTGTCATTTATAGTGATCGTCATCTGATCGTGTCCTCTCCCTCCCTGGATCACAAATAGGTCTGTGTGTTTCTGTGTGTTTCATCTTTGTGGCCAGAGTCACGTGCCTGCACATCGTTTCAGGAAAATAAAAATCTCCTCGGTCCTTGCTTCTCAAGGTGCTGTCCGAGTAACAGGTGCTAGAAGCTGCTCTGAGGGGGACACTGAGGAAGCCCAGGGATTGGTAAGAGCGGGACACGTTGCCAAGTCCGAGGCTGGAAGGGTGGTAGGAGGAAGGTGGGTCCTGGGACTCCAGGGGCTAGCGCTGCCCAGCAGGCTGCTGCAGAAAGAGGGTGCTCTCTCTCTCAAGCGGGGAGCCTTGGTGGGGACATGGCTGCTGGCAGAGATGCCACGGTGAGCTGAATGTGATGCGTGAACTGCCACTCTCTCCTCTCTGGTCTCCTGTCTTCTGCATCTCCCTCCCAATGGCCAAAGCTGCCTGGAAGCCAGAGGTGGGAGGGGTTGATAGACAAAGAGCAGAGTAGGGAAGGGCAATGGTGCACACAGGTTATCACCTCCACCCCGCCCCCAACCTGCCACCGTAGCCAGTAGACGGTGTGGGTCCCCCTCAACCCCCCGGCCAGCAGGTCAGCCCTCCCAGTTCACCTGTAGGTGCTTTAGATCCTTGATTTTTTTGTGACCCCTCCCCAGAGGCTGCTTGTGGAGGGTGGCCTGAGCCTTGGGTGGGTAGTGGTGGCGACTGTCTGCCTGGCCAGCCTCTGGGTTCCCCTGGACCAGCCCGGGGCCACCCTTCTCTTCAGCATGGCCTAGGAGTCTATGGGCAATCCCACTCACTCCCCCTCACATACACACCCACCGTGTGGGAGAGCTGAAGGGGCTGAGTGTGCACTCTGGTACCTGGAGCCCTCGCCTACACCTCTACACTGCCTGCCTCTCACCCCTCACTGGCCTGGCTGCAGGTGGGGAGAGCTTTCCAGGCCCCTCACCCTCAGGGGAGTTCTAGGGACAGAGGAAGCGGGAGGCCTGAGAGCTGCCCTGGGGCGGCATAGAGGGCCTGGGTGTCTGCACAGCCGAGGGGCCAGGGAGGCAGGGGTATGGTGTTTTATGTTAGATCAGGCAGCAGTTAGGCACAAGCCAACACAACCCACACTTGTTGGGGGACTAGAATCAACCAGTGTCACAGATACTGTCCACAGGGCCCTGATGCCAACTTCACTTACTTCTGAGCCCCAGAATTCCTGTCCATTGTAGAGAAGTCCTGAAAGCTCTTATAAGAAAAGCTGATAGAGGGGCACCTGGGTGACTCAGCCGGTTGGGAGTCTGCCTTCGGCTCAGGTCATGATCCTAGGGTCCTGGGATCGAGCCCCACGTCAGGCTCCTTGCTCAGCAGGGAGCCTGCTTCTCCCCTCGGCCTGCTGCTTTCCCTGCTTGTGCTTGCTCTCTCTGACAAATAAACTTTTAAAATCTAAAAAAAAGCTGATAGAAAAGCCAGGAGGACAGGTCCGCGGCCCCTGCGTTTCTGCCTTTCTGGCCACAGCACCAGGGTCCGGGGAAGCCGGTCTCTGTGACCTGGCCTAGCGGGCAGCACTGTAATGCCTCTCCCATGCCATTCTCACCCTCTTCACTGCTAGGGATCACTTTCCTCGTCCTGGGGCTGGTAAGGGCTATCTGGTTACCCGGAGACTCCTGGGAAACTCCCAGAAGCTGTTGC